GCTGTGTTGGTCCATGTTGGTCCATGTTGGGCCATGTTGGGCCGTGTTGGGCCGTGTTGGACCATGTTGGACCATGTTGGGCCATGATGGACCATGTCAGGCCGTGCGGGGCCGTGTTGCCCCGTGCTGGGCCGTGTTGGTCCATGTTGGACCATGTCGGGCCGTGCTGGGCCATGCTGGGCCACGCTGGGCCGTACTCGGTGGTGTCAGGCCGTGGTGGGCCGTGGTGGAGCACGCCACGTTGAGCCGTGCCGCAGCGTGTCAGGCCGTGTCGCCTGGGCAGGGGAGAACAAGGAGGAGGACAGCAGCGTCATCCACTACGACAACGAGGCCATCGCCCGGCTGCTGGACCGCAACCAGGACGCCACCGACGACGCCGACGTGCAGAACATGAACGAGTACCTCAGCTCCTTCAAGGTGGCCCAGTACGTCGTGCGCGAGGAGGACAAGGTGCGGCCCGGGGGGCGGGGGATGACGAGGGTGGTGGAGATGGTGGAGGTGATGGAGGTGGAGGTGGTGGGGATGATGGAGATGATGGGAGACAGCTGGTGGGGATGGTGGAGATGGTGGAGGTGGAGATGATGGGGATGATGAAGATGGTGGGGACGATGGATATATTGGAGATGGTGGAGTTAGAGGTGATGGGGATGATGGAGATGGTGGGGATGGTGGAGATGGTGGAGGGGGGGGTGATGGGGATGATGAAGATGGGGGGGAGAGATGATGGGGGTGATGAAGATGGTGGGGATGGAGATGGTGGAGACAGAGATGATGGAGATGGTGGGGATGTGGAGTCAGAGATGATGGGGGTGATGAAGATGGTGGGGAAGATGGATGTGATGGAGATAGAAGTGATGGAAATGGGGGTGGTGGAGATGGTGGGGATGGTGGAGATGATGGGGATGGTGGCGATGATGGAGATGGTGGAGGTGATGGAGATAGTGGGGATGGTGGATATGATGGAGATCGAAGTGATGGAGATGAGATGATGGAGATGGTGAGGACGGTGGAGATGATGGAGATGATGGAGGTAGAGTTGAAGGGGATGGTGGGGATGGTGGGTATGATGGAGATAGCAATGATGGGGATGATAGAGATGGTGGGGATGATGGAGATGATGCGGATGGTGAAGATGATGGAGCTGGTGGGGACAATGGAGATGGTGGAGGTGGAGATGATGGGGATGATGAAGATGGTGGGGATGACGGATATGATGGGGATAGAGATGATGAGGATGATGGAGATGGTGGGGATAATGGAGATGGTGAAGGTGGGGACGATGGGGACACTGGAGACGGGGACAATGGAGATGATGGAGACAGAGATCATGGGGATAGGGATAATGGAGATGGTGGGGACAATGGAGATGGTGGAGATGGGGATGATGGAGATGGGGATGATGGAGAGGAGTGTGACGGAGGTGGAGATGGGGATGGTGGAGACCAGGATGGGGGTAGTGGAGATGAATGTGATGGGGATGATGGAGATCAGGATGGAAGTGGTGGAGATGAAGGTGATGAGGATGATGGGGTCAGTGGAGATGGGGATGGTGGGGATGATGGGGATGATGGGGATCAGTATGGTGGAGGTGGAGACGCAGATGATGGAGACGATGAGGATGGGGGTGATGGAGGTGAGGGTGACGGTGGTGGTGGAGGTGATGGAGATGGGGATGATGGAGAGGAGTATGATGGAGGTGAAGATGGGGATGATGGAGATGAGGATGGGAGTGGTGGGGATGAAGATGATGGGGATGGTGGAGAGGAGTATGATGGAGGTGGAGATGGGGATGATGGAGGCGATGAGGATGAGGGTGATGGAGATGAAGATGATGGGGATGGTGGAGAGGAGTATGATGGAGGTGGAGATGGGGGTGATGGAGATGAGGATGAGGGTGATGGAGATGAAGATGATGGGGATGGTGGAGAGGAGTATGATGGAGGTGGAGATGGGGGTGATGGAGATGAGGATGAGGGTGATGGAGATGAAGATGATGGGGATGGTGGAGAGGAGTATGATGGCGGTGGAGAGGGGGATGATGGAGATGAGGATGAGGGTGATGGAGATGAAGATGATGGGGATGGAGAGGAGTATGATGGAGGTGGAGATGGGGATGATGGAGGCGATGAGGATGAGGGTGATGGAGATGAAGATGATGGGGATGGTGGAGAGGAGTATGATGGAGGTGGAGATGGGGATGATGGAG